ACAGTTGATATGAGAAAAACAAAAATTATGATTTTCACAAAAAATGGTCATAAATCAAAAAATACAGAATTCTCATATGGGCTAAACACGATTGAAAAAACAAACCAATTCACATATCTAGGGGTAACATTTAATACAAATGGGGCAATGAACATGACCATGGAAAGATTGGCAGATAAAGCAAAAAAAGCTGATGCATCAATCAAACCAGTATTAATATCAAACAAGTTAAACATGCTTTTACAATTGAAATTATTTGAGGGCATCCAGACACCAATTTTAACTTATGCTGCAGAAATTTGGGGAACCAATAGCAGACCAGAGTACTAGGACAAAACGTGTACAGAAAAACACCATTTAATGTTCTGTAGACGATTATTAAATGTTAATAACAGAACAAGTAACATTGGTAGTAGAATGGAAATTGGACGATTACCATTACTAGCAAAAATACAACTGAATGCAATCATATACTACCAATATGGCCCAATCAGTCGAGTATATGATGCAATAAAAGATCAACAACAAAACAAATATAATGACACATGGTTAATGAATCTGCATAAAATAAAACAGCTGTATGATATTAAGAATTTAGAAACAATTACACCCCTTTCACCCCTTAATTACACGAAGAACTGCAGTCAGATGTTGATAAGTCGTTACAATTGGTCAGGCAGTTTGTTTTGAAATTTACTTCATCTGTTCAAAATGTTGGCAACAACCCGGTAATTATCAAAGGCGTGATTGACAGGACAACAAAATAAAATTAAGAAATTGCAATATAAAATATTCCATCAGTTACAATGATGGGTGTACTTAGTATTTCACGGTTAGTACGAAAATATTTGTTCACAATTTTATAAACTCGCTTGGCAGGGGCGGATCTAGGATTCTGGAATAGGGGGGCCGATAAGTTGGCCGAAGGCCAAGTTCACGAGCACCGATGGCGCGAAGCCCTTGCGGGGGGTTAAAAATAGGGGGCCGCTGCCCCCTCGGCCCCCCTCTAAATCCGCTCCTGCCTGGCATTTGCCACCACCAATTATATATGTCACAGCATGTTTGCAAAATTTTAAAAGACTGTTTCGAGTCGCAGCGTAAAATAGGGGACTAAACCATTGTTCACTTTTGAGAGGAATGGCAATGACTCGATTTGTGGGTGTTACAATAAGCGAGGGAGAAAATTGTTTTTGTTCTATGAAAAATTGAACGTACTTTTTGTGCAACGTCCTTTTTGGTTACCTAACGCTTTTAGGTTCACGTGCTGCAAGTGACCTAAGCGGCCGTCCCTCAGCAAATAATTTAGCCCAGACATTTTCCGTGTCAAATCGCGAAACTATCCATTTTAACGCAATCTGGGAAGTCAAAATTACTGAACGAAGTACAGGACGACGAAGCTGAAATATCCAAGACCCAACACATACCAAAAATTATATCTCAAAAATGAATATTCATTCTGTATTTTAAGTCTAACCGGACTGGAAGTGGGGATTTGTTACTACTCTTAATATCCAAACATATTTTAGTATAAAGCAGTAATCAGGATGAGAGTTGTACTTTCAACATATACATTACCATGGTAACCAAGATGGAAGTAGAAATTTCAACATATATATTACCATGGTAACCAGGATGAGAGTAGTAAACTCTCAACATATATATTACCATGGTAACCAGGGTGAGAGTTGTATATTTCCGTTGCTTTTCAATTATTTGATTCATTCATGACGTTTGTAATATATCGTAATCTATTTGTTTGTAATTTTAAAATTTCGAGATACTAGTATTTCATTGTACTTTCAATTCTAAACTATTTTAGACTGTCGCCATTGAATAATATAGTCATAAATATTGCCATATTTATGTGTGTGTATATACATAGATATATATAGATTATACCAATGTACATGGAAGTGTACGCCACTTTGAATTTTTGGATTGTCGATGCTTAGGAAGTACTCGCAATGACACAATAATGTATTCACGTCACTAACAGACAGTACAGGTGGTGGACTCAGGGGACTTGTGTGTGTTCAACGTAGAGTGCGCCATCAGCAGCGTATATCACGCAAATGTCAGAAATTGTATTACTAGTATAATATATATAGTTGTCGTGGCAACGTTGTAAGTATTTCTATCATAAACTTTGTGTTGTGTCTTCCTGTTCTTAGTTTTAATGACTCTAGTGTAAATTACGAATAACAGACTCTAAATAAATAATCATCGAGTACACAGAGGGCGCCATTACAAACAAAATATACTCCGACATACCTGTTAGTAAGCACCAGTGAAACTCTATCACACAAAATACATACTACACAAATGTTAAAACCCAAAGATTTCGTCGCTAGAACGTTTAAGTGTATTGCAACCCTGGGACAATGTTCCTGAGCTGGTTCGCAAAAACGGGCATTTCCTATATTAATATCAGAACATTTATTTTAATAACATGTTATAATTTCAGTATTCCATTGATTTTATCGATACGCTTTTTATTAAAAATGTTCAACTTATTTTTATAGTACTTTTTTCTAGATTATGTTATGACTTCGTATTATTTTGTGTAGTAATTTGATTTTTGTCATGTATCGTTTTAGTGTTGTTAGATATTCTTTTGTTCATTTTTGATAATTCGTTGGTAACACATTGAATATGAAGTTTTCGTATAACCCAGTGTATGCCGAGGACGCAGCGTAATCTTGAATTTCAAGGCACATTCAGCTAAAACTGATGACGTCTTGCCACAGAGCATTCACTTCACACAACCTGGATGTGGTGAGTTGAATATTTTTATGATGAAAAACAGTGACGCTGAGTACTAATTACTCGTTCAAGTTCTTACAATTACCGAGGAAAGTAATAAGCGCATTTATAGAACTCCTCTTTGTTGTTCTGATTTGTTCTGCATAATCTTTCTTTATTTCGTTCGAGAGATGACATACAGATAAATAACTTCTTTGGATTATGAATTTATAATTATCTGTATTTATTTAAATTTTGGACGCAACATGTATTTATCTCGGAACTTTCTTTGCATACAAATGTACTCACCTAAATGCTCACAGGTTGAATATCACAACACTGTGGAAAGATAGCATGTAATAGACTCACTTGTCTGTTCTATGTTATAGGTTACCTCTTTATACGTAATATACGTACTGGCAGTGACATATGCGCGTGCACTTCCTATATTACGTAACACTTCGGCCTTGTGTTGCCACTTTTGTAATTGTATTCGATATACCATGGATATACACAGAGTAATCACCGCGGTGTAGCCAACAGATACGCCGAGAGATTATCTCTAAGATAATTTGTATCTATAGGGGGGAAATACCCACAGTGTAAAACTGCATGCAATGCAATTTAATCTGTCTTTCTTAGTTTCACTTTTTAGTACACAGTTTTAACTAACAGTTCATTTACTTTCTGTAACAGTAATAAACAAGGTTGGTAAGTGGTGAACAAAATTTCGTCAGTAGAATTTTACTCACTGAATCAGATGAAGGAATCGTTGTCGTTAAATGCCCAGGTGAACGTAATTTTCCCTTGAAATGGAATAAGGGTTGATGATTTCAAATCGAGAAGGGATATTTTCATGTGCACTTGTATTTGTATTTGTAGAACTACACTTGTGAAACTTTTTGTTCACACGTTTTTTATGCCCGAATATGTATTTCCTTACAACGTTTTAAATATAAATATCATTATATATTAGACAGCAACATCTTCTGGCAAATTAACATAAATACTTTTCTCCTTTAATACGTTTTTTTTCTCATTTCCATCTTTCATTGATTTATTGTTTTTTTTTATTATTATATTATCTATTTTTTTCACTATTTTTACCAACATATATCAATAGTTTTTTTTGTAATTGTAGTTTGTTGATTTTTTTTAAAACCATTGTTGTGTTTTAGACAGTAATTCTTGTAAAATTTGTATGTTTTATATATGTGTTTTTAGCAGTTAGTGTAACCATTTTAATTACTTCTGAGGAATTTTAAGTGTTTCAATAAACCTTAATAATATATTAAATGTAAATAACAGCAGACTCTTCAACCATACCCTTTATTTCAAAGCGTTCTTATCTGTTTTACGGCAAGAATTTCTTATTTGATCCGGTAAACTTGAACACAAATTTCTCCGCTCGGGAAAGTTTTCAGTTCTTTTACCGATAGTGGCGCACTTCCTTTTAATCGAGTCGACCTGCAGACTTGCCGAGTGATGTCCTATTTTACGTGAGTGAAAGAAAGCGCGGAATGATATTTTTAGTTCAATAATGTAAAATAAAAACAGTATCACACAATCAATCTCACTTAGTATTGTCAATGGGTTTCTGAAATTTAGTGGTTGACATGTTTCCGCAAAAAAACTGTATCTTTGGCAGCTGTCGTTTTTATGGAAAGCCAATATATTCTTAAGCGACAGGATACACAACGACGTCGTGACTTGTTGTGCATCGGTCGGCCGTCGTCGAACTATGGTTTGGTGCATGTATCTGGAAGAAAGTCTCAATAATTACTGCAGTAGTTAGTAAGATACGATATAGTGATAGCTGTATGTACGTATAACCTTTATATTTTCCAAATTTCATAGAAAAAATGGTTTGCAGATCATTATTTGCCAGAAAATTATGTTTTTATGCGGCGATTGGCGAGCGTGTTGTCAACTCTTGATTTATCTCCAAACCTTTGTCTGTCCTGTATACAATCATAACATCGCGTCGTGTTTATGATTCCTCCTCTGTATCGAGTCGTATTTGAATAATTTCAATACTATAGTATATAAAGTGTATTATTTAATCGAGAATTCGGCGTTTTATAGCAGTGTTTGTTTTTTGTTGAGGTTTTCCCGTGTGATATCAGTCATACGAAATCCAAGATGGCGGCTTGCACGATCGCCTCTTGTTTTGATGGTATTCCGAATTAACGTTCAAACATACGGAGGGTGCTCAAAGTGAAAGTATTCTTAACTTTATTAAGCTGTCAGCAATCTTATTACTCGTATTTTATTATTTGCACGTTTGCAGAGTAATTTTATAGACTGTTTGAAAAATGACGACACACGTACATGTTGGAACATACAGTCTGATTCATTGCTGTTTACGTTTACTTGTACACAATAGAACAGCTGATTGGTTGTTTCAACAATTGTTCCTTCGCCTTCTTTCACCATCTCTGCAAGTTACAATTCTGCTTTCTCTACTAATATTCAACAAGTTGATTGACAGCAGTATCCCATTCAAAAACCTACAGTTTAACTACCCTTCTCTATGTTGAAATTAAGCAGTACATGGAAGTTCCAGCTGGAACATTCAAGCCAGGCAAAGGAATACATGCTAGTGACAGTTACATTGCTTCAATTTGTTCATGAATCACTGCTGTAATATTCATAGTTATACCTATCCAATTTGGGATTATGGTAGCTGTTTACACTGCTAGACTTTAACCCAGGTATCGGGTCAAGTCAATGTAAAAGTTCATGGGGATGCAGGATAGGGATTAAAGGACCCATCTCAATTGTTTCCAAATCCCAAATCACGCCCTCAATTGTTTTCTTCAAGTAACCTCACATTTCAGTTATGGCAGAGACAACATCGTATGTAATTTCACGCAATTTCTGGCTTGATGAAGAGCTATGCACCCTAATATCTATTTGGCAGAGTAAAGAAATACTGCGATAAATTGATAGCTCAAAGAAACAGAAAAATGGCGAATGAAAGTATGCTTGAACAGATCCAGTGAAAATTAAAACTTTTTATTAAAGACACCAAAGATAAAAATCGTAGAAGCGATCATGATACAGTGACCTGTTCCTAGTAATTTAGATATCACAACAGTTGAACAATTACAAAATGGTAATTTTGCATGACAATAACTTAAGCGAATAGGCTGTAACACATTTAAGCTGCTGTGTTTCCTGTTTATACGAGATACTTGTACCTAAATCATAACACCAGTGCCTTGTCTTTTATACCTCCATGTTCAGACTTGTGACTGTTTCTTTTTTTTTCTCCCAGCTCAACGGCATCGTGCCATGTAAAGAAACAACACAAGCATGACACAAAAATGTTTTCAGCCATGTTTTTTTTTCATACTAATTATTTGAGGGCACTGTTCCGTTCGGCGCTGATCGGACTGAATTGAACTCTGGCAAATCTTGGCTCTCGTTTCGCCCGACCATGTGAACACATTGGAGATAATCTCCTGTTAAACGGTGGGAGGAGCAGTAGTTCAGCTCTGATAGAATGCTGCCATGTGAACATAGCAAATATCTACTATATTCTGCCTGTATTCGGTATTCAGAGCTTTCTCTGTCACATTACATTCTAGGTGTTCTAGCATTGTACACCTGTTATCAGTAAATTGCTAATAATAGGGTTGTAAGTTCCTGAGTTTGAATTTTCAAGAATATGTGCACTATTACTGGGTACTGGGGTATATTTAATGGGCATTTGTTATCAAAATCTCCAACCTTAGTGTTCTAAATATTAATGGAGCCTTTGGTATCTACCAGTAACATTTGAACCACACTGAAAATAGTTCAGGGTTTGTATTACTGTGTCTGTGAATATCTCTTGTATACCTAGAAAGCAATTATGTCAGCTTACATGTATTTGGCTAAACTGTGTTGCAAGAAAATTTGCCTCTAAATAATTTACTGGCTCTCTGAAATCAACAAGCTTGCAAGTTGCAACACAGGTGTATAAAACATATTCTCAGCCACAGTATTGGACATGGAACAAGAAATAGTTCTATTTGTGATAAACATACCGAATACATTTCTTCTGCATAGTCTTTTTTAGCTCCGCTGTCGACTTTGTCGAGCGGAGCTTATCATATGAGTGATTGTCCGTCGTCGTCCGTGTCAATGTTTTACCTTTAACTACAAGCCTGAATGCTTTGATACTTGGTGAATATGTACATAGGGTAGACCTCTCTTAGGTTTGTTCATTTCATGTTGATATGTTCAATTCTCTAATTTTGGTGAATATTTTTGGTAAAAAGTGATATTTTCAACTTGTTAAAAACTGCAAGTGCAATTGCTTTGATATGACATATATAGGTACTACATGTGGACCTCTCTCAGATTTGTTCATTTTGTAATGATATCTTTAATTCTCTAATTTTGGTGAATATTTTTGTAATTTTTGGTGAAAAATGATATTTTTGAATTCTTGTTGAAAACAGCCAGTCTCATTGCTTGACACTATACATATTGTTCATTTTCTAATGATATCTTCAGTTCCTAATTGAAATGTGCATTGCTAACAGTGGAGCTATCTCAGCTGACAGGCTGCTTGTTCCATTTATAAAAAATGTTAATGGCTATAGCCACCCCGATAAAGTCGACACAGCGGAGCTGTACATATTACTTATTGTAAGTTGTCATCCATCGTCTTCAACTTTTCAATTTCAACTTGTTCTTCGAAACCACAAGTCAGAATGTTTTCAAATTTGATATGCAAGACCTTGAATGGTTCTTTCTCAGATTTGTTCATTTCATGTCAAAATCTCGAATTCTCTATTTTTGGTGAATATTTTTGTCATTTTTGTAAAAAACCACAAGTCTGATTGCTTTGATACTATGCAAATTGTTCATTTTCTAATGATATCTTCAGTTCTTAATTGAAATGTACATTGCTAACAGCGGAGCTATCTCGGCCGACAGGCTGCTTGTTTTTTATCAACTCTTTATTTTGAGATTAGTATATGTGATGATGACCAAGTAACATAATCAAAAACGCTAATAGAATATGTTACATGTATTCTTGTTACATGTACAACAAAACATACAC